CGATTGAGTCAAAATAACACAGAGACCCGTAATAGTAAGAAACGCAAGAAACTGCAGACGACGTGCAAGCAACGATACGAACGCTCTTTCCTTGAACGAATGGTCAGACAGAAACAAACCGAAATAAAATTCGAAATGAACATGACGCGCTGAATACACCAGATCGTCGGTACCGCGAATGGCCCGAAAACGCAGAAAGATTCGTGCCTAATCGCAAATATGGTATCAAGAAACGACCTACTGTCAAGCTACGTTGAGCAACAACAAAAATATGCTCATATAACCTGCACCACCCTGTAACACCCTGATTTCATCAGGCCCCCAGCAGTGTGTGAGAAAACATTATCCGCTTCTTTCGTGCCTCAGCCAGCGGAAAATAACACTTCTCAAACACCGCTCGGAGCTGCTGCTGCGTCAGCCGCAACCATACAACGCATAGAGTTAATTTATACAGTTTATGCCTTCTGCATTATTTTTGTAATATGAAGTAAAGAGTTTTTTTTTACTCGTCAATGTAAGTGTTCTTTGCCTTCGCAGTACGCCACCCTCCTTGCCTCTGTAGCAGGGAGTCTGGAATACCCAGAACCGCTGCAGTTGTAGCACCACCAGATCGTAAACTGTGAAGTCCGTAATCTTTAGCATCAAGACCTTCCTTCACTAATTATTTCTTGAACAACTCGCTAGCACGGCTGTATGTCATAGGTGTGCTCAGATGTATCTGACCATATTTGGAAGCCAGGAACCTCCATTTGGAGGCGTATCCAGAGTACCAAATATGCTCAGATATGTAAAAAAGAACTGTTTACTTCATATTACAAAAATAATGCAGAAGGCATAAACTGTATAAATTAACTCTATGCGTTGTATGGTTGCGGCTGACGCTGCAGTAGCTCTGAGCGGTGTTTGAGAAGTGTTATTTTCCGCTGGCTGAGGCACGAAAGAAGCGGAAAATGTTTTCTCACACACTGCCGGGGGCCTGATGAAATCAGGGTGTTACAGGGTGGTGCAGGTTATATGAGCATATTTTTGTTGTTGCTCAACGTAGCTTGACAGTAGGCCGTTTCTTGATACCATATTTGCGATTAGGCACGAATCTTCTGCGTTTTCGGGCAATTCGGCCGGGTATCGACGATCAGGTGTATTCATCGCGTCATGTTCCGCCGCCACACGAATTTCGTCGAGAATTTCATTTCGGTTTGCTTCTGTCTGACCATTCGTTCAAGGAAAGAGCGTTCGTATTACTATTGTTGCTTTCACGTCGTCTGCAGTTTCTTACGTCTCCTCACTATTACGGGTCTCTGTGCTATTTTGACTCAATCGAAAAATTTCTTTTTACAAGATTTGATAAACGGATAAACTTTGCAGATTTCTGTTGCCCGCCATATTTGCATAAGCGCGGTTTACTATTTAAAATTTCGGCTTACAAAAATAAATTTGAAATTATATATTTGAAATATACATCATATAAATTGACGTAAAGTAAAATTGTCCACCTTGGAACGCCATAGTCCCAACCGCGGTCCTAAGCTTTCGACGATGTACTTCACTTCCCCCTGCCTTGTTCACTGAAAATCTTGATATTTTTCTCTCACAATTTGCTTGATTTTATGCAACGGAGACTGTCTTTTTACGCTCGTAGATGTACGAGAATTCTCCAAACAAGAATCAGTAAAAATATTTTTACTGTTCACCGGTAAGATTTTTATATATTCTAGATTCTAGCTTGCTTTAACTATACTCGATAGAAATCTGAAAATTATGTACGAAGCACAAAACCCCACAAGTATATATTAAAGTATAAACAGCAGACATCAATAACCATGTAAATAGTTGGGAATTCTATAAATTTTATTATTCTTTTGATTCTTTCACCACCAGCCTTTGTATTTTTATTGGCAGGGTTCGTACAAAACTTGAATGTCCTTGAATTTGAAAACAAAAATTTAAGGCCTTGAAATTGTAAAGAAATACTTGAAAGCTAGTCCTTAAATTTTTCTTGCTGCTTATGATGTCAAAATCCTTACTGTGCACTTATATTGATTTAGTACTACAGACTTTAGTAATATATATAGATAAGCAAATTTTCCTTGACAACCTATGAGTGATTACCCTTGCCAGGTTCATGTAGCAGTTATTTATAATTATTATATTCACAAGCTCTGGATATGAGGTATTCTGCAATCTGATTGGTTCTCTACAAGCAGGATATTAGCTCATATCCTGCTAGTAGAGAAAAACAAAATGGCGGCTCGAACTGAATTTCCGACGTTTGCAAACGAGAAAACGACAAGTTGTTCGCTTTTTATAGCTTTTACAGGATTAAAAACACAATGAAAAAACTCCCACAAATTGTTTTATTACAGGTTAGGAAATGAATTTTTAAAATTAAAAATGGTTAAAAATATATATTTTTAAAAAAATAATCGGCCGAAAGAGCGAAGATAAAAACATAAATAAAATAGAAAAATATTGAAAATATCCGAAAAACAAAATCTGTGAATTCAGACCTTGTGTATATAATAAAACAGTTATTCCACTCACTCTCGTCGAATATGAGCGATAGCCGATTCGGCGCTACGCGCGTCATCGGCTATCAGCTCATATTTGACTCGAGTTCGTAGAATAACTGTTAATTACTGTGTAGTTATGTTAAATGTAAACGACATTTCTATGCAACAGGCGAGTGAAAAATTGCTTTGCTAGGCCAAAGATGTCAAGTTCAAACCATTCAATACTGATTGCAATCAAGCAATTACCATAAACATCTGAATATAA